AAGATTCTATCCAGTGATTATTAATTATGTTTTAATAATAATAACGTATTTTTATATTGAGCAGGTATAGAAACTAACTGACTACAATAAGGTTAATTATAATGAAATAATTAACAAATTTGTTAAAAATTAGATCGAGTATTAAAATGAACGAATTATCATGACTGACAAAATAGTGACCCATTGAATTTATTTATGATACACTAGACGCATTGTTATTGAATGAATTCATACGATCAAGCGATTTGTAGAGAAATAGATCTTTATATTAGTGTTCTGTAGAAGATATATAACCCAGATTAATCTGAATTGGATTATTACTGAAGAGCAAGGATAATTAGATAGTAAAAACTTTACCATTATAACCATTTGGTAGGTGTCCATTTCCAAATTTAATCCATTTGAGATACTGAATGATGATTATTTCCTTCTAGATGTACATGTACTCCACTAACAGAGAACATCAATCAAAATTGTTCATCAATAAGAATCAAAAGTTCTTTGTAGTTATATAAACACAACAAACTAATCAACATTTGGAGGTTTCTTACTTTATCTTAATATACATATGCACGTCCTTGACCTTGTAATAGTGCTTGGACAACAAATGAGAAAAATACTATAGATAATATTGGTTATTATTATGGTCCACAGAATACCAGTAAAGAATATGCTGAATATAAGAGAAGTTTAAGGTAAGCAAATATCAAATCAGCATCTGGTCACACAAAAATCTATTATAAAATACTCATCAATAAAAGTTAGGTCAATATTGACGTAAAAATGAGTTGCACAGATAAAGTCTGTAGATGACATTGAATCAGTGAGTATTTGATGTATACCAGTAATATTGAGCCACAATACAGAAGTTTTTAGTTAATAATTGTTGAGATGGTAGAGAAGATTTGTAGCTCAAGTGAATGATTTTGATAGAGTTTAGTTCTCTTAGCTGGATGTTTGATCATGGAGCTTTCATCGTTCTTCTGAACGACATCACTAGCACAAACATCAGGTAGAAGTGAAATGTTCGAATTTCTTCACATGTGGTACACAGCTTGTCCTGAAGAGTTTCGGTCAACAAGAACTTATCAACATCGAGATCTATATGACAAGCTGTGAACCACATGTGGAGAAATTCGAACAATTCACTCCTACCTGAAGTTTGTATTGATGACGTCGTTCAGAAGAACGACGAAAGCTCCACGAACAAACGATCCAGATATGAGAATTAAAATCTATCAAGTTAATAATCATTCTCTAGCTTTATTATTTCGAAACAGTTAAGTGTAGTCTATATTTTGATTCACACACTGGAGACGACGATACTGACATTAAGGTAACAATACAAACAAATTAACATTATTCTTTCCGATAGTCACTATAGAGAATCATAGGAAAACTACAACTAGTCTTGGATTCACTGTTTGGATCTCATTCGTGATCATGTTTTTTCTCAATGAGAGGACAAACCAGGACAGTCTAAAGTATGTGAAGAGGAATAATTACTTAAAAAGTTATTAAAACAGTAAAATGTGTCTTTGTAACCATAACTCCGGTGGTTGGTTTGCACACTCTAAACTTTTTCCTTATAGATAACTGGGAAACAAAATTTACGTTTATTTTGGTTTATCAAACCCATCATGGTTTTCTAGAGTATAAATCGGATAATGTAATGATTTGAACCAATAAGTTTGATATTGGCATTTAACAACATAGTAACAGGTCGACACTCACCAACTTAAATAAGGGATCCACTGACATATTCAAGGTTTTGCACAACACCTTTTACAAAGCATAAGGAAGGAATAATGATTAAAATTTACCAACCAAACATATACATACAATAATTATACTTTGGCCTTCCGATGACCTTCACTTACCACCGGGTCATATTCTGTCCTTTTCACATCGGGTAAATAAATATCAAGTCTTGATGAGAGCAAGAACAAAGATGATAAAGGGAACTATGTGTATAAAATATATTGTCCTTATGTTTACCTTTTTATCTTCATTACTCATGTTATAGTTAGTATGTCTCCATTTTAATTTAACAACCCTTTATTGATGATTCATTCATCATGTAAACCGAAAAATTTCACACTTAGCTTACACGAATATCAATCCGAATAAACTATGAGTGTCGATACATTTTTAAGATCGTTTATTACCATCATTATACTCTAATGTATGCATATGTACTGTATTTCTATGGTTTCTAACAGTTGGAATGTAAATGAGAAATTGCCAAAAGTGCTTATTTAAAGTTTACCACTAGAGTTGCGATGATTCATTACGATTGGATCTGGGAACAAGGTAGGTTTCATATGAATTAAGAATGTAAGTAATAATGGTTAATGTAAACCAAGGATAATTGATATAAGGAATTCTGTGAAGGCTGACATAAGTCAGTAACATTAACATACAGAACAAGCTGTTGATAACCTATCAAAAGTTGAGATAAACATTATCATAGGGCTAACGGTCATGTTGCCGTTGCTGCTTCAGTTTGGGCACTATATAATAACAGACATCTATGAAGTTTAGAAAGAAAATACGTGTTGGCTGAACTCTTCAGATTCTCATCAAAATTGAAAGTCAAATTGCTATGGTGACGTAAGCAGATGAAGGCTATCCACTGACTTTAAATGTAAAGACTAGGTCTAAGTCCTATTAGAAAGTCTATTTTCTGGTCTTGCCTTCAATCTGAAATCATATAGCTGCTTACATCAATAATTCATTCTCATGGACTGTTGTTACTCTTTCGTATTGTATCATCGCATTTTATCTATCAATAAGCATTGTCTCATTCTAATGATCGAAAATTCACTCACTAAATTCAACCCAATGACAGTGGTGTCGGAGCTAACTGACAGGTTTTAGTTCAAATGGTATCTGATTTAAAATATAATACGTTTTCTTCTGATCCAGACTACAACACATTTTCATAGATGTTTGGACACCTCCATATAGAGCACTGACTCAGATTTACTGGAAAAGTTAACATTAAAGGCTGCTTTCGGCCTTTTCAGAAGCAAGGATTTATAGAATTGTTTGCCAGTGAAGTTCTAAAGGTAATGAAATGTATGTACAAAAGCAAATTAAGTTGAATGACGGTCTTTAACCATCTTTCTACATTACCGCAATCTAGCAGTGGTGTCAGGTTTGATTATATTCTGAAGGATCTGAATGTATGATACTGACAATGTAAGTATGCTACCAAAATAAATCATTTTAATCCTGTGTACAATTTTCATTTATGTCAAGTTTTCAAACATGACTAGCTAGTTAAACGCTGAAATGTCTCTTTAAAACGACTCCCTTTCTATTTCACTGAAATCACAAACTGTTGATGTGAGCCATGTTGTTTGATGAAGACTACCGTGCGATAAGTGGTTGGGGATGTTGTGTGACGTGTCTCAAAATCAGTCACATTGGCGCAAATACATTCAATCTGAATTACTACAGATCTAGAGTCCCAGTATTTCTGAATACATACCTTTCCACAAAGCTTTGCTTCGAACTAAATTCTCAGTACTTATTCTTTCTCCTAGTCACTTCAACCACATTACTTCAGCTCCTTTTCCATTCAACTTATCAGTTTCATTTTGTCGTACTAACGCAGTAATAGCAAAATGAACCAAATGTATTTACTTAAACACATAAACATTGATACAAGGAGGTAACGAATGGATATGAACCACATAAATCATTCCATTTATGTGAGAGCTGGGGTAATACCCGCACACCCAAACCGAAGCACGTGGTTTAGTTAGGGGGCCACTCCACAAGAATTTGACCTAAAGGTCTGATTCACAAGGCAGTGGAGCAACGTAAAATGCCACCCCATGGTAGCCAATGACCAACAATACGTTCATATACCTTTCGTTCCCTCAGGATCCTGGAGTCCATGTGCACCACTGATTTGGAATCAGGGTTTTCCAACCCCATCCAGGTGGATGCTTCGTATCCACCAACCCCGTTAAAACGCCAGATATTTACTTTCCATCCTCTCAATTTCGTAAACAACACTCGCGCAACAAGGACTTCCATGGCAGTGGTTGTATGTACGTGACCATGGGAGAGCATTTCAAGATGGAGAGCTGACTCTTCTCAATCTCAGCCATATTAGGCCCAAATGGATATTTGAAAATAGGCTCTCTCATTGATTATGAACTTTTCATTCAACAAAATTTTGTTATCGTTTGTGAAATGAAATGATCAATTTCTACAATGATTTCTCATCAATAAACAAACAGACTAGAGACTTAAAACAAAATTCATCTAAAACTTTTATAACTACGTACAGAACAAAAAACACACTGAAAAAGCGTAGTTGACATCAGTTTAAAGTAAACAAGTAAAAAAAAACGAATTCATAACATCAAAGATAATAATACAGAACGTTAATAATGGAGCAGTAAAACCACTTTATATATATATATATATATATATATATATATATATATATATATAAACCTCATTTTAGGAAATAATAAATTACAATGCATTTCAGTCTTTCTTTCTTCTTCTTCTTCAATTTTTATAGACTTGAATAATGGATGCAACATTATATCATATGGATGAGCTTGTTGTGTAATCATCATTCGTCGATAACATGATGGTTTAAGGAAGATAACTGTACATTTTTGTGTCTAGATTATTAGACCTAATCTAAATACAAAAGTGAGAAAATATAAAATAAAGAAAGAAACACAGCTGGGATAATGAAGAGATAGAGAAGCGACTTCATAAGCAATACACACCACGGGTTATAGACAAATATTGATCATTGTCAATGAATACATTTTGCATTGTCATTTAGAAAATATTTTTTCTTTGCAGATATGGTAGGCCAAGTCAAGACAATGTGTTTACATTTGTATAGTTAAGGATAGAAAGAGATTAAAGTACAGATTCCATCAGTGTAAGAATGCATGCAAAAAAAATTATTATTTGATGTAGAAGCAGCAGATTAAACGGTGGGATTTCTTCTTTTTTTTTTACCTGTATCCATTTTCATGACGATGAGATTGTTTGTAGTGTTTATGATGTGAATGAAACCGGTGGTTTTTGGAATCAGGCGACTCTTGTCGATATTTTTTGTGATGATGGCGGCGACGATGTTTGTCATGATGATGATGATGAGAAGAAGGACGAGGCAGACTACTGCTACGATCGAGTTCTCGATTACGATGATTATGATGACGATGGTTATCGTCGGAACCATTCCATGAATTATGATGGGAAGAACTGAGTTTAGATGAATGACGACTTTTATGCTTTTTCTTATGACGTTTATGTTCATCTGATGAAGATTTATAAGTATAATGCTTTTTGGATTTTTCATTATGATTGCCGGGAACCCAAACAATGCCCGAGTCAGAGCCACTGTATGTTGTTCGGCTTCGTTTGTGAGGAGGTGGTGAAACATTTTTATCACTGTCCGACTCCTTAAAAGTGAAAAGAATGAAAACTTTTAGTAACGAATAGTAAATAAACGGTGTTTACTATGTTCTAGAATTCGTGACTACGTAGCCTGTATGCTAAGCAACTGTTTTGTTAATAATAGACCTCCAATCTATCAACCCATATGGAAGGAAGAGGGTCTTAAAGTACCTAACTTAACTATACGGGAGTTATTTAAAGTTCCAACAAATTATTAAAAACATATTTCTTTGGTCGATATAGATTCAACTTTAGGGAAATACTGGATTTCCAAATAGGAAGAAATCACAACATTAGTGTACCAGTTTAATGATACGAAGAAAGGTTTTAAAAAAGTGTACAAACTTAAGAAATTCGATGAAGCAAAATAGGGATAATGCATACATACACATATTTTCGAATAACTGCTACATAATTAGGGTTACACCAAATCGATTATTGTTTTGTATATGAGTTGATAGGATGTTTCTAGACTAGCAGCATGAAAACCACTTCTTGGAATTATATTACGACTTTCTAATTAGGTTAGTACTCTCCATTTTATTGACTGACACTTATTCAATTTAGATAAAGTTGGAAAAGATGAGAACAATTAAAACATATAAATATGATACAAGTAGTGAACATTTACCTCATAAGAATAGTCCACTAAAGGATTCGTCAATTCATGTTGTTTATCTTTTAAGCCTGCAGTATTAACTGAAGGTAATTGAGATGAGGTGGTTTGTACCTTTGTGGTACTGATTGTGGTTAAATTATCTGAATTATTACAAAGATTAACTGATGATTGTTCACTAGTCGGATTTCTAATACAATGAGATAATGTTGTTGTTGTTGTTGAGGATGATGACGATGAAGTCGACGACAATGATAAAACAGACTCGTTTATTGGTGTTGGACGTTCTGTCCATAAATTTGATGATGTTTCTTTACCATAAAGCAACTTAAAGAATAAAAAAGAAGCAAAAAAGTGAATATTAAGCATACATGAATTGTAGAACAAACCTCGGAAAAAACATTCAACATCGTACTGAGAAGATCCACGCGAATAGTATACATACACTTTTAACGTCAATTACAAACTCTATTCATACAAATTTGAAACAGTAAAGGTTTACAGTTCTCAAATATTGAGTTTATAATTAAACATCATGAATGTGTACATTCATCTTGGCGGGTATTTTTTTAACCGATATAAGAAAATAGAAATCATTCAACTAGATCAGATTTGGTTTGGAGCAGGAATCGAACAATGTTAGACTACCATTGAAAAGCTGGAAGCACTGAACAGCTGTGGGTAACTGCCTCACACCCAAAACAGATGAATTCTTACTGAGATCATGAACGGCCGTTTCGTCCTAGTACGGGACTTCTCAGCAATGCCCATCAGACTTGACTGAGTTGAACAAACATGGATATTTTAGATAGTTATATGTGGTTGCAATGAAGCTATGGGTCTGAGTATTATGCTAATTGACACTCAACAAGGTGCACCTACAATCTTGAGGAAACTGATGCTGCCTGGAAGATTTAATGCCGTGTCACTCAGCTTCACTGTCAGAGGCGTTGCCACTGTTCTATTTGGGCTGCGAGTGACCTGCTGTATGACTGAGACGTACATACAACTGACTTATCACCGAGTAGTGACCAATGCCACTAGGTAATAAAGAGACAGTACACGTCTTCCGAAGTGGGAACATCGAGAATGTGTACAATCGAGTAGTGGCGCTATCACAAAAATATGACATAAAGCAAGGGAGTTGCTTAGGAGTAGCCAGATATTTTTGTTAAATATGAAATATTTTTTGTAAATAACGAATTTTGATAGTTGATATACTTAGGTGTACTTGAATAACCCAGTACAGGTACTTTGTGTTTGGAATTAAGCTATTTATTTATTTTAATACATGGACATTGATACAAGGAGGCTACAAATAGATATGAACCACATAAATCATTCCATTTATGTGAAGGCTGGGGTAATACCCGCACACCCAAACCGAAGCACGAGGTTTAGTTAGAGGCCACTTCTCGAGCGTTCGACCTAAATATCTGATTTACAAGGCAGTGGAGCAAAGTAAGGAGATGCAGTTCCATGGTAGCCAGTGACTAACAATACGTTCACATACCTTTTGTTCCTTTAGGATCCTGGAGTCCATGTGCACCACTGATTTGGAACCAGGGTTTTCCAACCCCCTCCAGGTGGATCCTTCGTATCCACCAACCCCGTCAAAGCGCCAGATATTCGCTTTTCATCATGTCAATTTCGTAAACAACATCTCTGCCGCGAGAAGGCAGTGAGTCGGACTTCCATGGCAGCAATTGTATGTACGTGACCATGTGAAAGTTTCGAGAGGGAGAGCTTACTCTTCCCACTATTGGCCGTATCAGTGCATTAGGTGGTAGAAATTTAAAGCCGGCGACACCCGATATTCCCAGCCGGTCACCCATGCAAGTACTGACCGTGTTCAGAGATACTTAACTGCGGCAGTCGAATGAGAACGGGCGTTTTCAACGTGGTATGGTCACCGGCATTAAGCCACATTTTTCTGCATGTCTACGGCCTGTATAACGAAAAAGCTGATGGAATTAGGACAGATGGGATTGTTCGAACATGCAAAGGATTGATTGAAAGCTGAATATAATTTGATTGTGAAATCATCATTTTTTATATGCAATGATGATTTATTTGTACATTACTATGTCTAACTGAGATTACAAAATACAATATCTTCAAGCGTGCTTCATGACTTGAGTGCTGGTTTACTAATGACTACTAGAGTATAAAGTGAACAATCCTGGGGATTTACTACTTAGCATATTGATTCGACTTCTTCCTCTTTATCAATCTAGAATCATGACAATCGAGACTTTCTTGAGTTGATTTATTTATTTTAACACATAAGTATAGGTACAGGGAGGCACCAAGTACATATGCGCCACACGAATCTCAATTGATTTGTGTGAGGGCTGTGATACTGCCCGGGTGCCCAAAACGAAGCAGGTGATTTTCTTAGGGGCCACACCCCGAGCCTTCGACCCGAATGTCTGACACACAAGGCAGTGGAGCATCGTGAGGAGATGCAGTCCCATGGTAGCCGGTGACCAACAATTGGTTCATACGCCATTTGTTCCTTCAGGATACTGGAGCCCATGTGCACCATTGGTTTGGGGTCCGGTTAAAGCGCCGAACATTCGCTTTTCGTTCTCTCATTTTGTAAACAACACCCCCGCCACGTGAAGGCAGTGAGTAGGACCCTGCTTCGGTTTGGGCACCCGGGTAGTATCTCAGCCCACACACTAAAACAATGACGAATTATCTGCTTATGGAAAATATTCGTTTCTCTCCGACTATCATTGAAATGACTGGTACTATTATTATTATTATTATTATTATTTACTACGTCATTTATTCACTATCTCCTATTTCTACTTTTTGTATCCGTTTCGACTCAGACAGCAGCTCGCCTATGGTAAAAATTCAGCTTTATCTAAACGTTCTCGAGTCACTGCCTGGTTGAAAATTGTATGTTGCCACCGAATACGAGTACTGAAGCAGTTAGCCCTTCACGACTCCCTGGCTGGGATCCGAGAGACGGTGTAACGCAGTGGCTAGAGACGTTATCAGATATGGCTCAGAATAGAAGCCAGTGGCGATCCTGCTGTAACCTTCTTTTACTTACTTCATAAAAAGTGGTTGTATCTTCCTTAACTGAAAGATTTATTCTGATTGCACCTTTCCGTTTTCCCCATCATTGTTCTCTCTCTTTTTTTTATAATTCCCCACGTTCATTACTTTTATATTTTTTTTCTCCTCTCCAAATTATCATTGTTTTGTGTGGCGCATATATATTTGGTGCCCCCCTGTACCAATATTTATGTGTTCAAATACAAATACAATACAAAAAGTGAGTAGGACTTCTCTGGCAGAGGCTATATACGCATGGCCATGTGAGAGCATTTCGAGAGGGAGAGCGGACTCTCCCCACTCTCGGCCGTACCTCACTCTGCCTGAGGTGTTTGTGTATAGGGCTTTTAGGACGTTAATAAACTTCTCAGGAACACCCTTCTTCAATAGACAATCCCAGAGAACAGTTCTGTCCAACGAATCGAAGGCAGCCCTGATATCAAGAAACACTACGATTGTTGGCCTTTGATAAGTATGGCGGTGTTCTAACACTTGGCGGAGGGTGAAGATATGATCAATACATCCTCGACCAGAACGAAAACCAGCCTGCTCCTCGCGAGTCAATCCTTCTCGGGTTCTGAACAACCTACGAAGTATGATGGAAGCCAATAGCTTGGACGCAATCGGAAGTAGACTTATCCCCCGATAGTTGTTACAGGAACAACGTGAACCCTTTTTAAAGATAGGGACAACTATCGACTCATTCCATGACGTTGGTACACTCTCTAGTTCCCAGATCTTTGTAAGCAACGTCGTCAGTCCCTTGATCAGAAAGTCACCACCATCTTTAAAAAGAGCCGGAGGTAAGTCGTCTGGGCCCGGTGATTTGTAACGTTTCAAGAGTTGGAGTTCCTTGCGGACTTCCGCCTCATTTGGTGGATCAGTCGTCACCGGCCATGGAGGGCAGGACAGTCTGACCGATGTTGCCGGAGCAGCAGGCCAGTTGAACTGCCCTCCAAAAAATTCTGCCCATAGTCCAAGACGTCGATGGATGTTAGTGATTGGCGTTCCGTCATCCTCGCAGATTGTTTCGCTCACACCAGACTTCTTGCTGCCAGTGGCTCGGATGAGTTGGAAGAGCTTCCAGTAATTACCAGATGCAGCTGCTGCTTCCAGCTCATTAGCACGCTCCGACCACCAGGCTTCTCGGTCCTTACGCAAGCTTTGTCCGATTTCAGTATGTAACATTCTTCGTTTGTGGTCATACTCACGATCACTCGGAGTAGACCGACGGGCTTCAATCAGTTGTAAGGAACCAGAAGAAACCCAGTGTTTATAAGCGGGACGTTTCGCGAACCCACAACAGACTTGACCCGCCATTTTCATGGCGTCATGCAATTGCAACCAATGCTCATCTATACTTTTCGGTGGAATGGTAGCTAGCCTAGAAGCTAGCTCGGTTCGGTACTTACTAGCAACAGAAGTTGCAACCAGCTTGCTAACATCAATCCTTTGGTGGCGGTCACTTCGTTGTCCACTGAAAAGTAAGGTGAGATTGGCGCAGACCAGAGCATGATCAGATTCCAGATAGGTACTCCGAAAGGAGCGGCAGTCTTGTACACAACCACGCCAGTGGTAGCTGATCGCGATGTGACCAATCTGTATCCAGGCTTGAGATGTAGAAGGGGGACGCCAGGTGGCACATCGGCGATGACTGTGCCGAAAGTTAGTGCTAGCCAGAAACAGGTTGTGGTCTGTGCATAGCTGCAGTAGACGTTCCCCATTATCTGTCCTGCGACCAACAAGTCCCCATCGGCCACCTAAACGACTCTCTTCTGTGCCTAGACGCCCGACCTGAGCATTCAAGTTTCCAGAATTACATGACTACTAAACATACAAAATCAATACAAAACAACTAAAATAGAATCTAACCTCTCGGACAGTGGCCGCTGATAAAGAGATGGTTGTTGTCGTACCACTAGTACTATTGTTGGCTGAAGGTACTGTTGATATGACATTTGAATGATGACTCTTCCCACACTCTACGATATCTTGAATATTTTTATTCTTCGAAGTAAAAGATAAAGTATTAATGGGACCATTTGATATCGACGTAGAAGGAACAATTGGTGAGGCTGAAAAAATACAAACAAAAGAAAGCAATGGTCAAGTAAATAAAAAATGAAACATGAAACTATACAATATATTCACAAGTGTTTGATTAACAAATGTAATTTCCTATCACCATAATGTAGAGGCAATAATATGATACACTATTCATGATACACATATGTCCATTTGAGACGCTAAAACAGATAGACAATGTTCGGGTAAGATAAGTCAGTTAACCCGATTTAGACAGTGTGTAATTCTCATTAATCTTATCGAAAAGAGGTACATTAAAATCAATAACTACTATCCATTCATAATTGTTAATATAACACCTGAAACAAAAGGATTTTAATCCCTAACATATCATTTTACTCAAGTAATATGATTTTACATAAGTTTCACTAAACATTTTGATAAACTGATATATAAAATTAAATATGAATAGAATCCCAAGAAGAAGAGTATTAAATTATATACAGATAATTATTTCATATTTGTAGACCGAATATAGAGGAACCATTAAACACTTGGATGAATAAGTTGGCAAAATAGTAAAACAATCATTCACATCCAAGTTAATCAAATAAATAGGATCAAGAAACAGATTGTACTACACATAGGAAAATAATACATTGATTTAATGTTTGGAATATTGAGAGCCTTTTGTTTTCCAATACACAATAGTCATACAGGTAGTAGAGCAAGTGTTTAAGTTCTTAATATTACAGTGAAGAATATAATAAATAAAAGAGACCTTAGAAGTCTATATCGGTAGCATTGAGGAGAGATAAGTTTTCCTATAGGTGAAGTACTAAATAATAATTGTGCATTACTTTATAAATAGTGAAGCTTGTTCTTATGCGACTTATTTCTAATGTAATATAATCAATAATTACAAAGCAATTTATTTACGTGTAATAATAAAAATCAGAGAATCTTTACATATTTCAAGTAAACTGATCACATGTTACGCAACTTTAAATTACGATGATGAATTCTGCTTGATGATGTACGGCGATTTAAGTCATAACGCGTACCTTTTTCATGTTACCACCAACTGAGCATACAATTGTAGAAAAGAAAGAAGGATCTACATCCGACTCCAAGATTATATCCTAAAAGTCTCAGGTCGATAGAATTAAAGACTTTCAGCAATAGTATTGTAAAGCATCTCTGTGAAAGGGCATCAGGCTGGTTCAATGAAATCTTTCAGAATCATCAATCAGCAGTCGGATTACGTTCTCCCTTGATTCGCCGAAGCTATAGCTATTAAATATTTAAAGCCCGATTTATGTATCCAAAAAGAAACAGTTGCAAATATTTCGTCATCATGGCGACTTTACTGTCAGTTTATTACATCATTCTTGTGATTTATTCCCGTTTATTTTCACTGCAACAGTTCTTTTAAATTCATAATTTTGTTTCTAACTGAATCATTTTAAACTTAGGCTATTCTTAACTGTCATTAATTTACGTCCAGCCACTTCATTATATAATCAATCAATTATTTCAGCCCTGTAACTATATCTGGAGTTTCAGAAAATTCTTTCAGATATTATATATTTATGTGTTCAATCTAATTATTCCACCATAATGATACGGATAGATTTTTACTTTTATAAGTACATCGAGTTTTAAGACCTAACGAAATAAAATGAATTCATGTTATTCTGCTTAATTCTTTGTTCTTGCTGTATTCAAGATAATAAACGGAACCAAGTGTATGATATTAATTAGATGGATGGAAAATATTAGCTAAAATTTAAACAAATGTTGCACTGTGAATCAAAACTGCAGAAAACTATCTACTACTGTCTATCGTTCTGAGACTTTTCATGATAGTTCACTGGACTCTTCCTAGATAAGAACAAAAACTGAAAGTCAGTACATATATGTTTTACAGTTAAGTCGAATAATGGATAGATACAGTAGTAAAAGCGTTAGAATCATTTAGTATCTCGATTAGTGTATTTCGATTTCACACTGATCTAAACATACAATCACCGGGATTCTATTTTGCTATTAACTGCCTAACTAAATTCCTGACCTTTGTAGTAGAAAATAATAACTAGATGATAAGTCCAGTAAGGAAGATCTTCGGTCTGAATAAATGTTGTACTAAAGTATGCTCCCTAAATCCCGACCGGTGCTACTACCTTGATGTGGTGGTCGGGCTTATCTGTCGTAATGAACCGATAGAGCTATACTGGTTGGAACAATCGTTTCTCAAGGTTATACCATGCCAGACAGGTTAAAGAACCGTAAGACTAAAAGCAGCAAACCCAAGGTCTGAAGGCGAAATCGTACGACTGACTGTACAGAGGTGTGACCACTCCTAACCCAATTTCATTTTCAGGTACCTCTATAAGAACCCTTCCACTGACTGACTTTATTGAATTTAAAGTAGTCACCTAAGTATATCACACTAGCAGTCAGAATGTAAGTGGATTTAATTCTGAAAGTATCAACAGTAAGGAAATAAAACGTTTAAAAAAACGTACCTGGTAATGTCAAATAACTGAACATATAACAAATCTATGGTGGTAAAAATCACACACACTATTTATTATCTGAACAGTTTAAAAGAAATTGAAAAAAAAGTAATCTTCCAGACAACGATTATGTACAGAAAACTTATAAAGTAGAGAACTTACGCAGGATGTTTATTTTATTTAATGAAAGTTTAGGATTAAAAACTATTTTCGGTATGGATGATACCGTGTTTGTAGTAGGATTACTGCAACACAATGAATTTATTGTTGGTGTCTTAGAAAATGAAGTACTTTGAGAAATAACAGATGATGTGGTTAAAGGTAGTAAATTTGTTTGTTTTATGATGTTAACAGATTTATGATGATTAGGCTGTGTAGACGATGATGATGATGGTAAATAAGGTTTTGTAATAGACTGTTGTTGTTTGACTGTATCATTAACAGGAGGTAACTGAGAGTTATTTAGCTTCGGAGTATTAGTGTCAAGTGAAGACTCCTTAGAGGTAACTGTACGAGTAACTGTACCGTTAGTTGAATTACGAACCTACAAACAAACAAAAAACAAAGTGAGTTTTACAGTAATAATTATCGCTTACAGATTAAAGTGAAAATAACCTGACATCTATATTATATGACTGAAGTTTAAAGTGGAACGGATTAAGACAGAGTCAGTCAAATACAATCTAGAATTCGGCACATACATATATCGATCCAGGTTGTCAGACTATATTACCATAATCAGATGAAATTATCAAAACATACGTCAAAGTAGTGGGAGTGATAACAGTAACAGTGGTAATAGAAAAAATTAGGCATAGACAATAAGTTTCGAAAAGAACAAATGAATTCATGAAGGAAGAAAAAGTATAAGGTGATTACGAAACTCAAAATGCAAGGGATAAAAAAGAGTGAATACATCCGTGCCATTGTGTCCGATTTCCAGCGATGTCACCTAAAGTCCTCCCATCAGTGGTTGCAATAATCACGCGATCATTCAGTTAGATAGTGTAAACCTACCAACATGGATTGAATCAACAGTAAATTACTTCTTGAACTGATCTGACCACCTCTAGCCTTCTACTACTCTATCTCTACAGCAGCAAACGTCACCTATAGAGGTAGGCAGTGATTGGAGATACGTGTTGTGATAAATTTATGAAAATAAAACTCACAGAAGACAATCGGAACAATCATTTGATAAATCAATTTCAATCAAGTAATCTAATTTGGTGTAGTTACAATTGGGTGATACGACTATGTTGAGATGAAAATAAGCCACAAACAAAAGTACATCCAATATGAGCATTAAAAAGAACTTCGATAAAAATTCCTGAATTTTTAGAATGAATTGTGTCCCTGGAGGTATGAACAAACAACACAGCTTAATATTGTTGTAAGAAATATAATTTCATATAATCATTGATCTGAGATTAGAGCAGCTATTATGCTTCTTTAGAGATTAAGACTACATGTTTGAACAGCATCTTGGTTATTTGGTGATTTCTTCTTAACTGAGTAGTTTCATTGCTATCTTTTCAATGTCATTTAAAAAGTAGAGCCATTTAAGTCAATTTAGGAGAGAAGTGAACATTTTAGAGTTACTTTAGACTTCTATCTGAGGTTTGTGCTGATAATATTGTTCAAAAGAAAAATGAAAGCTCCAAAACTAAATCAAGCAGCTCAGAAAATGAACCTTTATCAAAATTACTTTAGAAATTTTGCTACACCTTCCGAATATTCCATTTCTGTAATTTGATTAATTTTTTCTCAGCAATTATTATTTTCCCGTTGTAAATGAGTAGATGGGAAGGAGAACGTTTTTCTTTACTTTATTGTGATACTTTAGTTTTCACATAACGTATAAACTAAAGCCTGGTACATGGACCTATATTTCGATAAGTTATACAGAATTAATGAAGTAGTCTATAAGAAATTGGAACGAATTATAACATTACGATTTCAATTTGCAATTTCACGTAACCAATACATGAAAGTAAGAAATACAGTTTAAGAACAAATAATACAGTTGATGAGAACAAAGTCATTAACCAAGAGAAAGCTAGTGCCAAAAAATAGAAGGATGTAAGAGTAGTTAATGTCATAACTTTTAATTAACTAGAATTAAGCAGTAGGAGTTAATTTCGATAAATGAATGAGCTTACACCGATGAGTCAATATTTACATTAGTAAAGAAAGAAGAATGAGAAGTATAAGTATCATAACTTACCGCTTCATAGAACAGCAGGTAGGGTGACTGACGTAAAACATGGTCAGGATTTGTTGTTGAAACCTACAAATCGTAAAACAAGACAACATATAACTGAAGTACCACTACAAATAACAAATTAAAATAAACACTAATAACATGATGTATCATTAACAATTAGAATGAAACCCTTGCTAATTGGACACTGATAATATTTGAACCAATTGTGGTAATCGAACAGTGTAAAACTTAGTGGACTAATGTAGTAAGCACTAATACCAGGCAGTTTTGACACAATAAACTAGGTTATATGTGAAGACTTTGAAATTTCAAAAGTGATTTAAACGAACAGTTAATAAATTCAATGATGTTGAACAACCACATTTCTAGCCATCTTCATCTATCTTTGCTTGTTGAGGGAAAGAGCTCAAATAGTAGTAAGTAGTATATTATAATTGGACCTACATTATTTATATTATTTATTTGAACACATAAATATCGGTACAAGGGGGTACCAAATAAATGTGTCACAGGAGTTGGGAAAACATGATTCCAAAACAATGGTGCACATGGGCTCTAGTATCCTGAGGGAACAAATGGCATATGTGTTATCTTTATGACCCGCTAGTTATCACGTAATCTATTCGCCAATCAAAATACGAGTTATTCGCTCTTATACTGTACTAAACCAAAGACGTCCAACAGTCTGATCAGCCTAGCCCGTCCAACTGACTCCAGAATGCCAACAACAGCCTCCACTTTGCGAATCATTTATTTCAGACATACTGGGTTTATATACCAACCAAACAGATCGCAACGCACCATAAATAGAAAACAACACTCGTAAAAATATAGCCCAAAGTGGCTGTGGACATGGGAGGTAGTACTTAATAAACTAAATATAACTTAGGAACAGTAAATCGTACAATAATAATCTATAAGTCAAAATGAAGCTTATAATAAAGGGAATATAGATACATACAATCTAGTTACTGAATAGTTATACCATAAGAATATAAAAATAATATTAGTCCATTAATAGGTCTCAGAATATACTCGTACTTTAAGCTTCACTAGGATATAACAATATGGACCAATTGTTGGTCACCGGCTACCATAGGACTGCATCACCTCACGATGCTCTACTGCCCTGTGGGTCAGACCTTTAAGTCAAGGGCTCGGGGTATGATCACCTAAGAAAACCATCTGCTTCGGTTTGAGCACCCGGGCAGTATCACAGCCCTCACATAAATTTGATAAGATGACAATTAATTTGAACCTATATACATCATAAACTATCTTGAGTACTAATAAAATTGCAGTTTATGCATGTTATGTTAACCAAGTGTTTCTATGATATACTAACGTATTAGGATAGACGCAACTACCTATCCAATGAAATAATGTTATGAATACACTTACTAACTTCATTGTATATCATCATTCAATGATTGAGAAGAAACACATTCTGATCATACTAAAAATATATCGTTTTGTGATTGGAATACTTAAAAGAGAAAATCAATTACATATTTTGTTGAATTATTTCTCATAGATTTATTCAAGAAAGATAGTAAACATCATTAATGATATGCATATATATATATATATATATATATATATATATATATATATATATGGACTTACAAAGCTATCATTAAGTGATAACCATTGACCATGACGTAAAGTAAATGATACATAATGTCCACTACGACAACTATATCCTTCATGATTAACAATAGCATATAATTTATATAATATTGGTAAACCTTTTGATTGTGTCATAAATGGACGTAAATTAAATGATGAAGGAAAATCTACACGGATATCAAGTTTTTGATGACGTGAAAATCTACAAAAAAATAATAAATATTTTAGAATAAAATTTACTTGTTATAATTCTTCATTAATAACAATAGAAATGATAATAATATATAACAATAATAACTCAATAAACAATGGATAGTAATACAAATAATCATTGGTCTTAGTATTCTTTCGGTTAACATAAGAATTTAGACTGGAAATATACTACTACTGTGGCGTGTGCTACTTATATAGACATAAGTAGTATATGACGTGAGTCATGAACAGAATGTCTGGCAGCAGAGAGACGAGAAGATCGAACAATAAAGAATGAAGAAAGAATGCAATTTGTATGAAAATGCAAGAACAAAGGGATTCTGAGTCATTTGAGACAATTGATGAACAATTTGCAAATTAACGATATAATATATGGTTGTTGGATTTTACTACTTCTGTAATTTGTTGTTAAATACATCCGGTTTTCCCCACCTGTGTTCTGTTCACTACACTACTACTACTACTACAACTACATAAAATAGATAACTAATTTTATAGTTCCTGACATGTAGACTATCTGAAAAGATTAACAATTGAATATGAATAACATTTGGTTATGATGAAGTAAAACTAAGAGTCAATTCAGCTATAACATAGGACCAAGTACATATATGCATTGGTTCAAGTAGTCATAATTTTATTAGTGTACAAGAAGGTGAACAACAAATTTATAGAAGTAGTGTTAGTAAAACAAAAAAAAAGGTAATAGACTTAGCTGAAGATAATGACACAATGTAGAGACGAGACTGTGAAATGTTAAAAAAAAAAACACAACTTAAGCTGATTTGTCAAATTCATTGCTATTTAATAAGATTTATAATTCTTTTACACTAAGTTTAGTTATAATTTAACTCTTGTATGTATTAATTTCTTTGAACAACCATTTAAGGATAGCCATTATATTTTTGGGTTAAACCAAGAATAACATGAAAAAAAAATAAACTCAGTTGAAGTAGACAAGAGATGTAGTGAACATTTGGGGAAGAATGAAGAAAAGGTACAAAGGAGGGGTTATTATATAATAAAAATTATTGTAGCTTACAAACACAGGTATACTCAAGTTTTCTCACCATATTATGTATATGTATACACAGGTAGAACATCATAGATGGTAGTCGATGTTATTTTTGGGGAACGGATAATTGAATTGTTTTTCGATTGTAATTTGCATTTCATCTCTTCAATACAAAACTTCATCACTTCATAAGATATACATATAAATTTATACGTTTATACGTATACATATTAGTATACATAAATATATTTCTTTATTAATGAATAGGATAATGAATGTATAATAATATCAGAGTATATGTTTAATTTTTCAATGACCACAAACTTCCATTCTATGATTTCTAAATACGTATAAAACGTAATGAAAATAAATGAGATTAGTCTTATACACAAAAAGGCGATTATAATTGAGTTTTCCATGAGAGTAGTGTATATATATATATATCCATATATTCTAATTATGTAAGTAAATTGCTTATTTGACATGTATAGTTGTATACTTATTTACTTACTTACTTACACCTGTTACTCCTTGCGAAGGAGCATAGGCCGCTCGCCAGCATTCTCCATCCAATTTATTTGGTCAGATTAAATGTAATTCTATTTAGTAAAGCATATTGACTGTTATTACACTATACTCATATTATATTCTACAAGTTGAAGTACAGATCTACATCTATCATCAGGTAGCGTGAATATGTGATTCGATATTAGCAGATAGGAATATTTCAAATAAACTAAACTCATGCTAGTGACAAGTCAAAGGGAAGCAACAGTATTCGCCGACTTGAATTTCGTTATATGAGCGGATTATAAGGGGAGGCACTAGTAATAATAGCGACTCGTTTACTAAATATAGGTTTCTGTACCAAACTAGAAGCTATACCTGTTGTGTGAGGGCTACCTGACCGTTGTTGCTGATCAAAGTAGGTGGTGTTGGGTTCGGACCCAAGACCTAACTGGTCCAAAGTGATCTAATCACTCTATGCCATAGCAGTCAATACAAGAGTGTTAACTGATGATTATTTTATTGATCACCGATTGATGACATGGTTAAATTAAGCACCAAATAGATTAGATAACAATAACAAAAAGGCAGGTTGTCCAGACATTTTACATGAAACCTACTAATATGGGCACCAATGTTTAGCTAAAGGGGTTGGATAGAATGAGAACGCAAAAAGGGAAGACGGCTGATCATATCTGAGAAACAAATTAAGATTTATGTGGTACATTTATGAAACTTATTGGATGGAGGTTAAAGACAATAATTAGTTGTTGGAAGTGAAGTAGATTAGGTTTTCGATTGACAACTTAATGAATTGAACACGAGTAATGAAACCCGTGAGAAATTTTTTACTAATCCTTAAGATTTTATCCTCTACTATTGAATACCAACATAGTTTTTGTAGGAAATAGATAGGCAATTCTAGCTTTACAGTTTTATTTTCAATGGAATAACTAACGGAAAGTAAGGAGCTGTAGAAAACTACATGTCAGGAGACAAACATCAAATCGCTACATACACAATTCTAAATAAAGCTGACAATAAATACTTACAAAGAAAAAAACAGAATTCAACTACTTACCTATTTAGCTGAATAATAAGTATAGGTGGTGCTCGATAAATGGTACATTTTCTCATAGCTGGTCGAAGTTGATGACAATTTTCACATTTATATGCATTTTGACCCGATAACTCTTCACTGCGAATATAATTACACAGACATTGCTAAAAAGAGATAAAAGGGGAGAAGTTTAATATGGTTTTGATTGGTAACACCAAGGAGAAATTAATGCAACACAGCAGAATCAAGCATTGGATTTAAAAAAAATTTATTGCATAGCTAAGAGCATTGACAAGTTAAGGCTGAACTATATCGAATAAACATTCATTTTAATGAGAGTAAACATTTAGACATTCAGTTTTTGAACGTTTTGGCTAGTTAGGTATTTTAAAATTAGGAGATGATATCAGTCAGTAACAACGTAGAACTTCGTGCGTACGTACATCAGTTCGATGATATAAGAAGTAAAGTCTAATCAATGATGTAATTAATGAGAACGTATATTCTAAAATCAGTTTATGGAACTTAGCAAATACAACCTTCTTTTTTCAAATTTAGAACAAATTAAAAATCTAAGGCATAGTGATAGTACCCAATTGGATAAACGGAAGTAAACGGATAGGGGATTCGAATCCCCAGAAAGTTGAAAACTTTTACACCCACACTGAGCCACCGCCTCTTCCCATTCCAGTAAATGAACAAAGCAACCTATCTTAACAAAATACAAACCTTTTATCTTACCACACATCGTATTGATTGGTTGTTTAGTGCATAGTAAGTTGAGCTGATTTTGAATTGCACACTAACTAGTTAGTTGGTAACCAATTACTGAAAAACTTGGCATTCAAACACAAGGGTTATTACTGTTTATTTCTCATGAAAACACCTGGACATAAATGAAGGCAGTGTGCACTAAACAAAGTAGAACTAGAGACAAGTGTCTATCAACACAAACTACTAAACCTTTCCCGCTAACAACAGCACGACAGGTAGCGTAAAGTAACGAAATGAAATTAATAATACCAACAGTGGTGCGGATAGTTCATAAAAACGAATGAAAACGTTAAATGGCGGTTTATGATTAAGAGGAAGTTAAAGAACGAATGCAATTAAATCAGCTTGATCGATTTTGGATCACATAAAGTTCTACACTATGAATTATTATGTGGGCCTTATAGGGCACAGACTGAGGTTTATAGATGCCTTTGGAGAATTACTCGAGTATATTGGGGTCACCGAGTGAGAAATATTGAGGTTAGGTTCAACGTACTAGCTAAGGATGATAAGTTGATTAAAGTAGTGAATGTTCAATAACTGAGGTGGTTGGAATTTATATTGCAATATGTCGAACTACTTAGCATTATTTTATTGCAAAAAGTTAGAAAGATCATTCAAAAAAGAAAGGAAATAGATTAACCTGTAAACTTCGAGCGCAAGTGATATCCATAGACAGATTAAAGCATTGTTCATCCCGCGCTGAAACTTTGAGGCAAGAACGACATGTCACTGGAATACAACAATAAATATTGGATGTTTAATAATAATAATAATAATAATAATAATAATAATAATAATAATAATATTAATGGCTAGTCCTTCAAGAATATTTACAAAATGACTCACTATTGAAATTAATGCTTTAGAAAATCAGAATACGCTGTGTATTACCACTTAGAAAGTTGCAAATAATTTACTTACCTTCTGAACGTATTATACCACCGAAAATCCTCCTGATGACATTTGTTTCAGATATTTTACGAGACACTTTACCTAAACTTGCCAATGAACTATCTTCCATTCTTGATAAAAGTCCAAGTAGAAATTCATGTGCATCTTCTTGTTGATAAGGACGAAGACTGGGACAAATAGCTGGTGAAGGTAGAGAAATGGTGAATAAAGTTAAATTACAATTGAACAAGGATAGAATAAGTTGTTACTTGCATAATACATGTTAACATTTCCACATAACCGTTAATATGTTTTACGCAAATTACTTACTTACGCCTGTTAGCCCTCGTGAAAGAACATAGGCCGCCCACTAGCATTGTACATCAAACTTTGTTCTGGGCAATCCTTTTCATGTGTGATTCTGATCCCAGACTCAGTGTGTTCTTTGACCTTCCATATTTCCTTTTCCCTTTAGGATTCCAAGTTAGCGCTTGCCTCATGATGCAGTTTGATGATTTTTTCAATGTGTCACTTGCAGCTTTTTCCACTGCCACTGCTAGGTCTTCCACGCATTCCTGCTTGTCAGCTCTAGTGCTCTTCTTTACTTGCTTGTTCGACTGTTGTTAATTGCTATCTTCTAGCTCCTTCTTCGTTGAATCTTATCCAAGGTTTCGATACAGATCCATTCATTATGATGATGTTTCTTGCAGCCCAGAAACTCCTGACACGTGGAAGTTAATGCTACTTTGATCCCTTTTCAGTCGCCCCCCCCCGTAGCAGTTTTTTCTTTCAGTAGATCATGTAAGGTTTGGAACCTGTTTTTGAGAGCTATCGTGAATTTGTTGAGTTTGTCAGTATGTCGAAGGAAGGCTGTATCATACAAATTAATTATATTTTATTAAGGATATTACACTATTAGATTTAATTCTTTCCGATGCTTATTGCTTACCTCGAACATTTGTTACAAAGTAAGAAGGAATTGTACGTCCACTTTGAGAGTGATGTTCATTAATAAGACGAGAAAGACCGCATAGAACACAAAATCGAGATTTGTTTAAGCTTGGAAGGTTGGACCGACCATTAGTTATGAAACAACTACTAGGGTTTGAATGTTTATGGTTAATATATGCAAGTAGAGGTCCAGTAGCCAAAATACATTGAAGTACAGAGTTAAGATAACATGTATTCCCAGAGTTACCAAATCCCAAAGCTCTTTTTGGAATACAATGAGCACCGGTTTGACACAAATGATCAAGTTCATCATCAGAACATAGGAGTTTATTTTCAGGAGAACCTAGAAGTTCAATACACGAACAGTTGAAAAAAATTACATGATACACACAATTAGATTAATTTTCTCAAAATACTAAACCTAATGACTAATTTCAAAAGAAATCACTAAAAATGAGGAGAGAATATTAATTTGTAAGTGATAATTTTGCTACTTTTTCCCACCTCTAGTGAAATTCCCACTTTAAGGTAGGTAGAATAAAGAAATGATAGTATAGTACCCGTGTGAAAATATCGATTCTCTTATTTCTTTGTTATCTCACATAATAACAGGAAAACATTTTGTACAAGTGAATCAATTTTATTGCCTAAAAATAGAAAAGATAATTCTATTATCCAACCTAATTAATTAAAACTAACTATAGATCAACTCGTTATTCAGTCGGTAACAACGTGGAACTTCGTATGTACGTACATCAGTTCGAGTTGCCATAACACATTAGCAGAGAAATTCAGTAATCGATCCAAATCCCGTAGTGGTAGAGGTAGTGGAAGTATAAGTAGTGATACGGAACACTAAGGTTTGATGATGTTATTTAAAGAGTATAGTCCAGCCCTCATACCCGTAACTCAACTCGTTATTAGATAGTACTGACCGATGTCATTATTTAATTTTCAGAGCTGACCAAGTGTGTTTGTTTAGTATTCATCAAGAGTGACTGGATGGGTGGAAATGGTCAGTAGGAAGTCATAGGTTTATGTTTTATGATACATATTATCACGTCATACTCAGAATCTTCGAGAAGACTTACAAACCAAAAATTGTGAGCTATCAATAGTAGTAACCTGGTGAGCGGCATATGCTCCTTCGCGAGAAGTAATATGCGTAAAGAAAAATCGATAGTAATCAAAATTCAAAGAATAAATTACACAACCGTGTTGATCATATAGTTTTACTAGAAGACTGGTTGCAAGGAAATCTACTTACTGCTTATGCTAAGCTACAACACATTTGAATTCCTGACGTAATGGCTTTTCTTAAAGTTGCTGATCACTCACTAGCAGCTTACTGCCTCGTGTTTTTCGCATGACAGTGTATATGTATAATGGACAAACTAACGCTTGAACGTAAACTAGAAAACGCATTAATTTTGGCTGTTTTTGCTACTTCTTTCCTAGAAATCATACATGTCTACTGACATTCGGAGAACAACAACTCACAATGGTGATTAATTCTCTTGATTATAACACTTCAAAGAACTGGTTAAATTGTCAAAAACATTGTGTTGTAGAAAATGAAATGTGGCAGTACAAACTCAATTTAAAAAAAGTAATTACCAGATTAATTCTGCACTTATGAACCATAAGAGTAGTTGTACTACTCTAAGGAAAATTACAGATTAAGTTAGATGAATTACATTTTTAGGACGAGTGGCTGTATTTGATGAGATAACAACTTGATTAAGATGTATTTACATACAGTGAATTAAAGCTCAGTACCAAAGAAAAACATATTTGATAGTAGCACTCACCAAGGACATTTCTCTTATATCTTTAAATCCATTTTAGTCACATTTCTTGAATGGACGTTATGAGATGATAAGGTTTGGAATTAATGAATCCTATTGTTCATATTTAGATTAGGTGAGGCACCAATATTATTTTAATGTTTCATCTTGGAGCTAGTTTTGGTCTTCCTCCCAAAACGTAACCACAAATATGTAATTTCAACCTTAAAAAGCCTAGTAAATGGATAATGAATGAACGGTTTAGTAGATATGAAGTTTCTACTAGCGATATATTCATGTCTTCATACATAAAGGTCTGAGTATCTTGTTTTAAATACTATAACTAAAATTAAGAAACAAATTCTAGTGGAGGGTGGGAAAATTAGTAAAGTCTTATACGTCAAAAGTGGCTCTAAGGCACTACATGTGCACGTCAAAGGCTTTCTGAATAGTAATAAAGAAATCATGAGATTAATGGTCAATAAATTTATTTGCGTCTTTAACTAGATATTATTTTAATGGGCAGCAGTTAATAGACATTCACGTGATCATTGTATTCTGAATATGTGGGTTAAATTATTGATGGGTGCTGATACAATTCTGATAGTGAGAGTAACCCAATAGACCAGTGGAATACAAGTGACATTATTTAACGATAAGTGAATTACTATACTTCCGTATAATTCCTCTCAATAGTAGATTTATTTAGCATGTCACAGACGGATGGACAGTACCAAACTATTAGTAGGCACATGAATATTCACTTTTGGAATAAATGAAATCAGCTGTAAGATTCTAGCCAACCTGAATATTAAAAAACTCAACAGTAGGTTTTGAAACTAAATGTGTGACAATGGACAGTTGTCAGATATTTTCATGAACAAAAGACATACTTTTTTTGACGGATTTACATTCTTCCGAATCTTCTAGGATCAAAGATCTGGGTAGACTTTGGATTTTCTGCTTGATTATTGAATCCAGAGGAGGGGCTGACGATTCATGGAAAGACAAAGGTCGTTGAGACAGTTTTTCTGTATAATTTGATATATGCCCATTTAGCGGGACTGTAGATGACTTTAATGATAGACGTAAAGCGTTATCTAAGTTATAGGAAACTAGTTTTGAAGCGGATATAGATGACTCGGACTTCATAAAATTAGTAGTAGGCCCATAATCATTATTTGGAGATGATTGATGATTAAATCCCAACACTGACCCATCAGAACCACAATCGAAGTGCTGGAAATTCTGCGTAACAGGCTTGGGCAAATGATATGAAACATTGGGAACTACAGATGCAGTAGACGACATTGGTTTACTGAGAGGTTATGAAATGAATTGAGGAGTACCAATGTTAAAGAAATATAACTTTCATTGTAAATAATAGCCTCAAGATCACTGAGTTGCGGAATTGAGAAGTAGATTCGAAATTGCCTGAAACTAAAAGAATAATATTGGTTACATTTTATTTCCCCAAAAGTGAGACACGCACATAATATTTAACTGCTTACAATGACAGACTATAATATTGCATACGATGGACACATATCGACTGGAAAAACTAGTAGGATTCAATGTCGAACGTTTGACCACAAATATATTCCATCAACAAACAGGATACAAGCATTGTTCCAAGTCAATGTAACACTTCGGTACAGTGAAATGAAGATGAATTCTGAGTCGAAATAACAGTAGTATTAATGGCCATGAGAAATATTAAAAATTGGAAAGTACGGTTCTCAAACGGATGAATTTAGGGAATAAGCAGTAAATGCATCTGTGACATTTAGACTGCTTTCGAACCATGTTACACAGCGTTCTTAATAAACAATGGCTCTATGAACTGAAGGTTTATATGTCCTTAGCCTTCTCTCAACTTACTTTTATACATGCTAACGTCGAGCAAAACGGTAGGAAGCAGTTAGGGATACATAACACATATTCCATTCACCTTAGTTAATGAAGTCTCCCGACCTAATCAACTTGTTTTGAAGAAAAGTATGGTCGAAAACTCGTAACCTAAGAATGCCTTCTATTTTCATAAAACATATTTCAGTCACCAAGTAATACAGAGTGGACTGCAGTATAATTGCACTTTCACAGTGAGATGAACATCTCGCCTACGTCACTAATGATCCAAGCTGGCGAAAATCAAGTTGCTTATTTTAAATGTGCCGATACTTCACCAGCCATAGACCCATTGGAATTCATAAGCGATTAACATGGTTTATTATTTCACTTTTTACAGACAGAAATGCTGATGTAGACCAGTACCAAAGTGGTAGAGAAACGCATTTCCAAGTACTTGAAATGGTACTCAAGGGATTTAGAAAATAGCATTTTATCAGCGTTCTCGTCGAACAGAACCATATCGTCTACATACTCCAAGTTGATAAATGAGTCTGATAAACTGGTTACTGAAGTTAGACAACGTTATTTTCGAAATGCCTGGGACAAAAGTAAATAAAGACGGACAAATCGTGAGGCACTGACGAATGTCACTTAATATTGTCAGTTCATAAGACAATTTTCTATAAACTCTGATTCCACTGTGTTGTAACAGTCTACAGGAGGTTCATTTACTTCTTTGATACACCTTTGAGTGACGTGTGAAACCAACAGACCAACGCGTCATGAATGACGTAGTTGTCACAGCATATCAGCACAACGAGGCGAAATTATCAAGATGAATACCGAGGTGGTAATAGAAAAGATTAGGGATAGATCATGGAATAGACAGTCCAAAGTCTGAAACCCAAGATCTAGGAACAGACAGGGAGTGAATACATCTATGCTATTGTAACCGATTTTGAGCCATGTCCTTCAGCACCTCTAACCACTGATCAACGAAGTCAAATGTAACTTTAATGACATACACTTTTTTAAGTGACGCGACTAAGAATAAAATGTAAACTAGATAAGATGGCTAAGTTGATGTTTGTGTAAAACAAATTTAAAAGATGGACAGGTGCTGTTTTCCGATTTTCAGGTTTATTAATGACGTATTAACATCAGAAGTATAGGCAAACAAACATGAAAAGTGACAAACCGTTCTGGTAGTTGGCAATCTAAAGACTTTAGATATTAACGTCATGCGCCATATTTTTGCTCCGTAACGTTCACAAAGCAAACTGATTATGGTTATTTACCGTGAAGCTATAACTATCATTTTGTAAAAGCTTAGTTACAACTAAGCACCAAAAAGCCCCCAAATGCCCTGGTACGGCCGAGAGTGGGGAGAGTCCGCTCTCCCCCTCGAAATGCTCTCACATGGCTACGCGTATATTGCCCTGACAGGGAAGTCCTACACACTGCCTTCTCGTGGCATTACTGTTGTTTACGAAAATGAGAGAACGAAAAGCGAATGTCCGGCGCTTTAACCGGATCCCAAACCAATGGTGCATATGGGCTCCAGTATCCTGCGAGAACAAATGACGTATGAACCAATCGTTGGTCACCGGCTACCATGGGACTGCATCTCCTCACGATGTTCCATTGCTTCGTGGGTCAGACATTCAGGTCGAAGGCTCGGGGTGTGGCCCACTAAGAAAACCACCTGCTTCGGTATGGGCAACAGGGCAGTATCACAACTCTCACACATATCAATTGAGGTTTGTGTGGCGCATATGTATTTGGTGCCTCCTTGTACCAATATATGTGTTTTATAAAAATAAAAAGCACCAAAAATAGTGTTACAAACAAACAGTAGTTGGTGAGACTAGGTATCATCCAAAAGTTTTATTTACGGTGAAATCAGAAGTCAGATAGTTTTGTTAGGTACCTAAACTGTATGTAGCCCGTAGGTTAATACATGATGGTTTACTAACTTGTAAAAAGTACGTGCAGTCAGCATGTCAACTCATGAAGTCTGTGGTGTAAGATTCTAGATGACGTCATTTTCAGTAGATGAGTGTTTTAACGTAGATTCAGATGGGATCGCTTAAACCCACTTCTGACAAACGCTTTGCTTCTAAATGTCCTGGTACGATCGAGGATGGGAAGTCAATTCTCTCGAGATGCTCACACATGACCATGCTTATGCAGCCAGTCATGGAAGTCCTACTCATGATAAGTAAATAATAAGCCTAAATGTAATAAAAATGGGTAGAACTATAACTTACGGGTGAAACAATCAGATTTAATGTAGCAGGTCTTTGATGTTGACACGAAATTTAGCACTGGCATTATAGCTGATGTCAGTTCGTGATGAAAACCCTAACCAATTCTTAATACCAATTCCTCATACCAAATTATAGACATCACTCAATCCTGGGTTGCTAACTTGTCAAGGTCACTGGCGTCACTCAAATGTCATCAGTAAATTATAGCCTTGACCGACTAGACATTATGTAATAAAAGTGCAACATTGAAACAGGAATAAACGTAAAAAATGAGATCGGAGGAGAGATATTAAGTGGATATATGCTTTCGTTATTGATCTTCCAATCATATAGATAGAATCTCCAACTACTGCTGCGAGGCTATAATTTATCGACGAACCAATCAGATATAAGATAACGAGTCACGAATTTCGGCGGGAAATTCACCCATACATTTCGCCAAATAGGATTTTGGCATTATAGCTGATGTCGGCTCGTGATGAAAATCCTAAATCTATTTATTTAACCCTAACCATCATCTGTAAATGAGAATACTAACTGCTTTATAACCCCCACTAAGTCCTAATGAGTAGGTCCACACTCATGGTCACTTCAATGTTGCTCAAAGGTCGTCCATAAATTATAGTCCCACTGACATGTAACATAGGATCTAACACGATGTAGTGTCCAAAATGGTCATAATCAAGGCACTGGATTCGATAGCAATAAGGCGATAATGAGTGGCAACAACAACAGACTGTAGAAAAAGGTAGACATATTATTTAAAACTTAGAGAAAAATAGATCAGTTATTCAAAGGTAATAAAACAGCGACAATGAAGCAACTACGTAAGAAGTGTTGACAACAGTGAGTGACGAGCAATGTTGAAGGGATATTAGAGAAATTTATCTTATAGGAGAACGAGAAACAACGACACCAAACAGGTAAAAAGGTTACGTATGACAATTCGAGAGCCTATTAATATCTTAATTCGTCATAACGATCTGATTAAATATTTTTATGCATGGATTTGTTAGCGCTATTAATCGGAGCTCAGCAATTCGCGTTTGTGGCAATCGTTTCGTGAACCGAAGAACCTAGCTTACTAGTCCTAGTAGAGAATTACCTGTTTGCAAATGGGTGTCCAAACACGAAGGTAAGACGACAAGCGTTAGTATTTTTGAAAAGACTTTAAAAACAAGTAGACCGTTGTCGACCGCATACAATCAACTACATCTAATTATGTTAAGCTAACAGAAAATATTGCACAAGTAAGAATAGTTCAACACAAAAAAAAGCCATACCGTGTGTCTTTCAAGTAGAAGCCAAAAACTCAAGGTACGTAGGTATAAAATAGCCTCGTGTATCAACACACGTTTAAACTCCGAAAAGCCGCGCCCAGACCTTGAGCTCAATGCCAATTCCCATGACATCCAATATCCAATATGTTGCTGGTGTGCTAGTTCAAACTTCAAGATGTGTCCTTTTTATTATTTCAAAGTGCTTTTAAACTACAACAAAAATTACTTCAATGAGTTTGGTTATATTATTAAAACAACTCAATTAGATTTAACTTAGGCGCTCTATTTAAAAATAAAAGTGGTGTTATTTCTTGTTAAATTAAGTTCACTGTCTTGATGGTAAATTATACATCAAAACTAGTGTTTCCACTTTAATTGAATTTATTTCACTTAAAGGGATATTGTACTCGTGCATTTATTGCATCATATCACACTCAGGCGAATTTGACTTGATTTATTACTTTAAGGTTTGCATTTTTTTACGTACCCACTTTTGTGTTACTATTGTTGGCTAATTTTTAAGGTGATCGGCTCTTATCACTGATGTGGACAGCCTTACTGCTTATTCCCTGTGTAAGAAGGAATCCGATGTGACGTGTTCGAAGTGCTTCCATATGATGCGTACCCGTCTTAATCCCACTGCCTATAAAAGGTGTTCTTTGTTTAACCCCGATTGGATTTGTATGTTTTGCTGTGCGAGCAAAGCATTACCCATCCAAGGCTGATGAGGGCTGTACCGGTAACATGTGTACTGATAACAAAAAATGTGTCACTGTCTTAAGTGCTGTTACAACACATGCTAGACATCCAACTGTGCAACATGCATTTAGTATTTATATCCGGAAACAATTAACTAGCGAAACACCATTAGATATCGGTGGCCAAGTTGCTACAACAGAGACTGATGGCC